AACCTATCAAGTGCTTCTGCACTTACCTAGTAAGTGATTGTTGGCTACAATAGCTGCACGTCTTGTATAAATCGTGCTTCCATAACGTTAACCCCAATAGAATACGTACGCGACTTGCAACCCTTAACTTTATTATGATTGAGTTTGTAGTTTAAAGTGCGTCATTGCATTTTAATTAGTTTCCGGAAATAACAGACACATTTAATCGTTGATTCCGTATACGACTTTTGCCCGACGGGCACTCGACAATAAACATTCACCACTAACTAAGCTTTATTGCGATAGTCATAATCTTATCGGTGGCGCATAATTTCGCACAAAGAGCCGATGCTATCTCGATAAGCTACCGGTCTTGCTATAAACCCAAATTAGATCAATCAATATGGCAGGGATTAAACAAATAACTGGCGGCACTTTAAAATGAACTCATTGTGTTTCAAAGCAAACTTTTGAGTATTGAAATTCGGCGAGAAACACCGATGAATATGTATGTGATGACAGCCCCTGAAGTTTCCTGGGAATATTGGAAAATGTAGAGTAAATTGGAATCTTCCAAATGAATTATGATGTACCTTCTACTATTTAACTAAGATGGATGTGACTTGCAGTATGCGACACTTCCTTTCACTAAAGCTCTAGATTTCTACGTGGGACAAATGTCACCGCCCTACATTTCTACTTCTTGAGATGGACACATGACTGTTGAGACGGTTTGGCAAATGTTGGTGAGATGGGAGCTCAAAACCTTGACTTGAGATTTCCCTATATTTCCATTTTGCGATTGAAAGACACATTCTTGAGAGCAGATTATTCGTTTAAGTATATGATTTCGGTAACACCCGAATTTACCGAATGTATCCAGTAACCCCCACCTGTCACCCTAATCCTCGTCGAAGCGAGTTTGTAAGATTTTAATTGTTCCCGAGTTAAAAACGAATTTTGATGGTAATTCTTAACTCTTGTTAAAAAATATATGCAATGCTCCACGCACCACCTTACCACTCTGACTCACCTTTTTGCATTTTTTCTTTTGCGGTTTGAGAAAAGCGACAGTCTAAGAAGAGCGAAACGACAAACTCGAGAACTCACTTCCCTGTCCATTTTATAGCCACACCGGTTCGAAAAAAATTGGAAACCAGTCCCCCCCCCCCCCCATTTTGATAATATGGTGGGTAAGAAAGAGAGGCGATAGAAAACAATTCCTTTAGTTGGGACCTTTAATTAGAATACCATGAAAGATACCTCCCCCGTCACCCACTGATCTCGAAAAGGAGTCGTGCAGGAAGGTTATAATTTGTAGAACAAATTCATTTCGATCAGACCTTTCATTAGAATAGCATGAACAGTAGATCGTATGCTTATTACGTTTGGGCCTACCTTTTGTAATTTTCCGTGCTTTTAAATGAGATATTGTTTACGCTTCTTAGAAAAGAAATATAAATGTGATACACATTCCAAGAAATGAAATCAAACTAGACACATTTATTATGGTTTAACAATGCAAATAAGTAAATTATTAACTATTGCAAAAACACAAAACTATAGTCCTGACTGAATTCGAAAAATATTCTCACTTGCCAAACTAGTATATTAAGATACAAGTGTATAATCAAGTCTTTAAAGCACGCGCAACGAGTTTAAGAGCACGACGCAAAGCGGAGTGCCTTTAACGTTGCAAGTGCTTTAAAGACCAATTATACACGTGTATCTTATAGTATTTTTTATTATACCTGCAGTATAATTTAAAAATAGGAAATACAATGAAGTCATATTGACGTTATACTCGAATACATGTCTAATTAAGTGGGCTGGGTGTTCGTAATTTCACGATTGCCATGGAAATGCACTTGACGTTTGCTTACAAAAATCATCGTCTTTGTGAATTAAACGATTTCCGTTGAAAAAGATAATACACCGCCCATTAAATTGATTGTTGTAAAATCTAAACAAACGTTGGTAGGTGTAAAATCCAACTCCAGTAAAGCCTATTATAAAGAATATGAAAAGTTGTTTCCATGGATGAATAGGAAAGTTACTTACGAATACAGTCTTAAATGCGTCGATAATGCTGGCATATATGAAGGAAATGTCAAAGGTATTTAAATCTTCTATACTTTGGTGCATTCATTCAAAACTTTAAAGCAATGCTGCGATTAAAAAGTGGAACAGATTTGGAAGCATACCCTAAATTACGCGCGTTTGTGAAAGCTTCAACCAAAGGATAGATACAAAAGCCAAAGAAATGTTCTGCATTTACAGAAAGCGACCTAAGAGGAGTTTTTATTTCATCCAGATGACAGTTTCAAAAGTCATACTTGAAGTATCGTTACTTAGCAACTTTAAAGCACGTGTATTTTAAAGGCCCTTTTTCGCACGCATTTGAGTGTTTAAAACGGAGATTGTGATTCAGGTATAATAAAAAATTAATTTTATCCTAACAAATAATGCATTTGCGCAAGTAAAATCTAAATAATTAAATAAAACTTTCACTAAAACGCAGTAAAAGCACTAACCAACGCGAGCACACAAAACAAATCGCACGCTAAAAGAACAATGCGCTACAATGAAAACGCAACGCTGCTGCTTTGGGAAACCATTAGTAATTAGAAGTTTTTTTATTTATTGGCAGATTAAGTTCTTAATTACGGGGGAACTTATTTTAGTACTTAGCAATCTACTGAAATTCAATTTCACTTATTCCGCCTACAACCTGCGTCTTTTAACTGAATACAATCTCATGATAAAAATAACTTTTTTAAAAAACAATGTCTCAGTACCCCAGAGGTAAAGTACTGCACTAAGTCCATTTTTCCCCAAAAATGCTTTTTTGTACTAAGTCACATAATATATATAATAATATAATAGTACACGAAATATATGGATTTAGTATTGTTTGGCTAAGTCGCAGGAACATTGTGAGGTAAACTGTAATAAGTGTACATAGTATCAATAGTTGTATTGTTTTGATGGACTTAGTACATTATAAGGAATATGTTTCAGGATTTTAGCGCATTTTTTAAGAAAAAAAATGTGCTACTGTTTGCGTTTTGTCCGTCTGTCCGTTCGTCCGTCCCGACCCACTTCTGCCGTTATGAACTACTTCTAGAGTCCAGGAATTTTTGCAGTAGGTAGCCATATACCTTGAAGGTGTGCCAAATGGCAATCAAATTTCGCTGTCTAAAAGAGCTCCCTCCCCCTTCAATTATTTCCTGAGATGGGAGTGGAACTGGTTTTATCCTACATGGTACTCTAATGAAAGGTCTCAACAAAAGGAATTAATTTCTATCAACCATAGTCGTCCTCCTCGATTTCTTATCGTGTTCGGATATATTCCCTTATATCTCCAGGACGGATTATTGGAAGAGGGGACTCACAAAGGGCGATTGGGACATCTGCAAGAAATATATCCATGGGTGATTTCAAAACTTTAAGGGCGAATATCTTGAAAACGGTTTGTCGGAGGTACGTACTCTCAAAGGCAAAATCTGCAGAATGGAGTCTCGGAGAATTTTGAATGTATGCCAGGCGGTCTTTAAAGTTTGTGTGTAAAGAGCCTCCTCCCCTTATAACCCAATCATTTACTAAGCTATTTCGGTTATACAAAAATGCGCATTATCTGCACAAGAGTTGTGCACAATTTATAGGTACTTGTTTGTTATCGTTTATGGGGGAAATTTTCTACAAAATGATGACCATTTCTTTCTTACAACAACGAATGAGATGAATAGCTGAACAGTATTATGCAGGGTATTATGATATATTTTTTAATTTGAATAAAATTCTTGAGTTAGAGTTGTTTATAAGTTGTTTATCAAATAAATAGATTTTTTTTCTAATCTGTGTTGTGATTTCATACAGGAAAAAAAATTCTCCACGCCCTGTACATAAGTAAGTAACATGGTCCTTCATGATGAAAGTAATCAAATGTATAGGTTAATAAGGTCAAATTATTCCTTTCTGCTTCTTATAATGTGGTTTTCTGTAAACTTTTGAATTTATGACTTGGTATATCTTCACCTCTGAGATACAGATGTAGTCTTTTATATGTACAAATTTCCTTTAATTACGATGAAAAGAGCAAAAATAATGGATTTTAAATTTATTATTTATTATTATCTTTTGTTCTAGGCCCTCAACAGGCTTGCGCCCAATTACAGAGTGACCCGCATCATGCTTTTTAGAGGTGCCTCTGCAGAAATGGCGCTGTGGTAAAAACCAAAACATTTAGAAGAAATTATCTCGCCTGTGCAATAACCAATAGAGACACAGTGACTTTATAAGGACAGTGGCGACACCTTATCATAATCCGCCATATTGGAGCTAAAAAATTGATTGTAGGATCAATATACCTTGTCATGTCAAATTGTGGCCGTAGAATAACAAATGTCAGTTTCATTTAAGTAAAGATTCTCGTTCAGAACTAACGGCGCAGAAATGATCGTTTAAAACTTTGCAGAACAACCTATGGGGAAACCACTGCGACCCAAATTCAAAAAGATATATGGAAAAAGGTATAATACGTATAAAATATAGTGCAATATCCAAAATGTACATAAAAAGGTAACAATTAATCATTAAATTGTGTTTGACATTTCAGTGTCTTCTGTCACTTCTTGTCGCGTGTTTCTCCTTCCGGGATAAAAAGTATTACTTTAGTCCCTTACATGGAAGACAAAACACGTTGTTCTAGTGCACGGAGTACAAGAGATCAATATTCCTTGTGCTTCAGCAATCATCAATGTTAAACATTAAAATGGCCGTTTGCAGCGTTTTACTAAACATCGTTTAAAGTCGTAAACACTGTTTAGCAATAGACAGGGTTTGCACCGTACATTAATCAACGTTTAGAAAGGTGTAACCTATGTTTAATCTAAACGTCCAATTTTGGGCGTTTAAAGGTCTGATTAGTACGAGTATCTCATTATTTGTAGGTTATAGTAAATACTACCAGTATCTTTATTTTGATTTTCTTTCTATTGTGTCATAAATTTTGATAAATTATGGATGTTGTTGAAGAATTTTTCATAGAAGATGATTTAGACATATTGGATATAGTAGAGTTTGGTTTCCCACGTAAAGTTTATACTAGGAAAAATCATTTCGAGGAGATGGATAACTTAACATTCTTTAAGCGCTTTCGTTTGACGAAAGATACAGTTCTGCAGTTGTTAGAATTAATCGAAATGGATCTCGAATATAATAACAATTTGTATGAAGCTACTACCTAATTACCCATTTGTTATCCTAAACTATACTTTTAGAAACAATAATGTAGCACCTATTGATCAGTTGTTAGCAGCGCTTAGGTTTTATGCAAGTGCTGGACATTTAAGTACAGTGGCTGATTTTATCGGCATGGATATCTCCACAGCATCACGGTTAGTTGCAAAGGTTACACATGCTATTGGTAGACTGTATCCAGAGTTTGTTAAAATGCCAGGTCCAAATGAATTAATTCAAGCGCAGAGAGAATTTTATCGTTTATCATCTTTTCCCAGAGTTATTGGTTGTGTTGATGGTACGCATGTCAAAATACAATCACCAGGTACTTAAGTAGTTTCTCATAATACCTGATGAGGTCAATATACATTTTCCAGGTGGAGAAGATCCGGAGGTTTTTAGAAACCGAAAGGGATATTTCTCTATAAATGTTCAGGGTACTTGTGATGCAAATCTGAAACTGTTAGATGTTGTTGCTCGCTGGCCAGGGTCTACAAATGACTCCACCATTTTTAATAACTCGAGGCTTAGAAGGCGATTTGAAAACAATGAGTTCCCAAACTGTTTATTGCTAGGTGTGTTGGCTATTGACAGCAGAACATACAAAACAGTAATTTTCTAGGCGATAGTGGCTATGTTGTTAGAAATTACTTTTTAACACCTCTTCTGAATCCACTAGCAAGAGGTGAAAGACTGTACAATGAAGCACATATTCGCACCAGAAATGTTATTGAAAGATGTTTCGGTGTGTGGAAAAGAAGATTTCCAGTTTTAGCGTACGGAATGAGATTGAAGTTGAATACTGTATTGCATGTTATAGTTGCTACAGCAGTTCTCCACAATTTAGCAAATCAAATGAATGAAGAGGAACCTCCATTACCTGATGATCTTAATCATGAAGAAGTAAATTATTTGATCAATATTGGCAAATACTTCCTTTTTTTCCTCTGCTGCAAGTTTTCTGACTTCTCGTTTACGATTTTCATAAAATCTTTTTAGCACTTCAGGTGCACGGTAAGTGGTACTCATGGCGTTCACTTCCTGGGAAATTTTCTCCCACTGTCTCTGTTTATGTAAATTAGATGTTTGGTCTGTTTTTTTATTTTCTAGAACACCTTTATATTTGGCACAAATATTGGCAATCATTAACTTTTCATCCGCACTAAATGTTGGGCATCGATTTCTTTTTTTGGTCGGAGCTTCCATTATTAACCAAATTTACTAAATTTAACAAAGTTGATGATTTTAAGCTCAAATATAAACTTTAAGATTAACAGTCAGTAAACACATGTGACAGTACCTAGATATTTTACACTGTTGCCTAGCAGATTCTCCGATTACCTAAACAGCGTTATGTTTTTGTCGGTGCAAGTGGTTACAAATTAAACATTGATTAAAATTAAAACAGTGATTAGTTAAACAACGTTTATTGCAGAAACGGTGCAAACGGCCATTTTAAATCAATTCAAGCGTGTTTATGATCACAATTGCGTTATCCATAACCATAATTAAATTTGCTGCTAAATTTCGGATAAGCTGCTTCTCTAACCAGTTTTCTATCTAAACTCATTAGGTATTTAGGGCATATGAAATGAATTATCTTATAATATCGTAAATCCAAGCTATATGCTCGGCTATATGCTTCTTTAAAAATCGAGTTTATATAAAACTGGAGACGGAAAACGTAAAATAAAGCAAATACAAGAACCAAAGTGTCTACTAACCTAACGTGAAGCCATCGTGAAGCCCTGACTCACAGGTGACACTGTCAAAACAGTATAATTAATACCTAAATTATAGCAGGGAGTGTACCGCGTCGTTTTGGAGGATTTCTATTGGCCAGTTTGTAAGGCGACCGGAACCAACGACCAATCAAAAACGGGATACCCTGTTGTCGCCACTGTCTCTATAAAGTCACTGTAATAGAGACTAAACGGGCCCAAGGATGCTATATATAATATATAATATATAATATATAATATATAATATATAATATATAATATATAATATATAATATATAATATATAATATATAATATATAATATATAGCATTCTTGGAACGGGCCGATGGGAGACTGCGATCCAAGTGGTAAGGGTGCGCAATCCTCTTAAAACAAATCAAATTCTATCAAAAAGTATTATATTTACAACAGCGAATTCAACATAAAGAAAGACCAAATTACTAAAAACGGTTTCCTAATATAACAATTTACAATAAATGTTCGAATACTTACGTCACCATTAACTGCAAGACAGTAACCAAGTCGATCATAAAATCCATTTCGAACTGCTGTAAATTGATAACTGGATATCTTTTTGTTTTAGAAAATTCCATGGCATCGCAGATTATTGAAAAAGATGCAGGTTTTATTTTTACAATTTTCCGTCTTTATTGTGCAAAAAATTGAAAACTAATACGGTTGATTGGGGTAAAAAAAATTTTTTCTGCAAAAAACCTTAACACATTTTTGCTCTAAAATAATTTGGGGAGCCAATATAATCGCATATTATGAATTTTACATTGAAATGCCTATGATGCGTTACGCGTCACCACCCTGTATAACGGCGCTGAGTGATACGCATCACTTTCTTCTTCTTGTCTGTTTCGATCTTCATTCCTAAGAAATTTCGAACTTCACTCACATCGGTCATTTCAAACGCCTTCACAATCCGGACAAGCTTCTCAGACTAGCACGACTCATTCCATTGCCATGAAGCTTCTTTCAGTCCACAGAGCTAGCAATTCAAACGACAGACTGAGACAAGACATTCCTTCTTCACGAAACCTTCTGGCTGACACGTGAATATTTCTTCTAACAACTCACTATTCAGAAAAACCGTCTTAACGTCCATTTGTCATTACAGCCCGGTCAATATGGCCACGATAAAACAACCCGGACAAAACAATGTGCACACAAAATAACCCCGTCATAATAGCCCCGCCAAAATATAGGTATTCTCGCAAGACTAGGGCGTCGGCGTCGTGGGCTGGTGATCCATCCTGTTGAAACAAACAGTTTCCAACTTTTCTTTATCGTAATATCCGTAATAAAAATGCTACTCACAACAGTATGTCCTTTTTTGCAGGCTACTATATAAAAAATTAGGGTTGATGATTTCTATGAAACGAAACGTTGTATTGAAATCTCTCGACGCTATCGGTATCTTGTAGAGTTCAAATAGTGACAATGAGAAAGTGTTTATTATTTTTTTGTATATGTTCAAATAGTATCTACCAGAAAAAAAATAAAAACCAAATCAGAAAATTTTGGTTTTTCTGGCATATCTTCGGAAGTAACCGAAATTGTCCGGTTTTACTTACAGAATGATAATAACTCTTTAATTGCGCAACTTTTCTCCAGTTTGGTCCTCATCGTATTATCTATGCCCTATGGTTTCGGAGATCCCCATGATAGATATTCTTATCTTGGACACAGTGTACATAGGTACAGTCATTGACAAAAGTAATGGTCGCCGAAGAGGCAAATCATGTAGCAAACGCAACCAACATTTGAATAACCCCAGGAATAACCTGTGCAACTCGGAAATTCTAACCAGCAAATTAAGGTACCTATCTCTTTCTTGAGCAGACGGAGCCCGATGTGATAGGTATGTTAGTTGCTTAAGCTGCAGCATTTATCTATTAGGCGATCGATATTTGACCGTACGTGGGTTATGTTAACGAGGCTATTTGGGCAGGGCCCATTTTGACGGGATTATTTTGGCGGAGCTATTATGACGGGGTCATTTGACGGAACAAGCTTCACCAACACTGCTCGCAACGTATTCAGCTGGGTTACCGGCGAGTCTCCGAATAATCAAATCCTCGCTTCTGGCCGAATCTTTTGGTGACCAATCACGCTTTTGCTGGTTTTCCATCTTGACCTGGATGTATTTTGAACACCCATTTTCACGATATAGCGTTTCGTCCTTCCGGCGGCTTCCACAAGGTCCAGGTTCCGTTTCGATCCAACGAATCCATCTCGTCTTGCATCGTCCGCTGCCACAAAACCCGGACAGTGACTTCGGCAGATCCTCCCCATATGACAGCGCGTTTAATGCAAAACTAGCATCCACTCCGTAGTCTTTATGCCATACGGGGGTATGATGTGCTCGAACCGGCCTATCGACGGAGCCAGAGTCGTTCCTTCGTCAGCCAAACTAGTGAAATACGCATCATCATCTTGTGCTTCATCATATTTACTGGTATCATCTTCTTGAATAATGGTCTTTTTGAGGTATTCTTCCTAATCACTCTCGGACATTTGAATCATCGCACTCCTATCCAGGTTCTGCTGCTTCTCGTTTCCATCCGGAAACGCCACCTCCAAGGAATCCACATCCCGAGCCCGAACAATTTACTTCGTTGCACTCTGTATCAATGTGGACAATATCTGGGGAAAATCCCCTTCCACGCATCCAGTTTCTTAATTGCTGTGCTCCTTCGGGACTTGGACATAAACGGGGCATCCGAAAACTCGCAGTTTCGATAAGTCCGGTTTTCATCCTTCCCAAAGTTCAACAGGAGTCTTGTTGAAGTCGTTGGCTTTCGTCGGACAACGGTGCGTGATGTACGCAGCAGTTTCAATCGTTTTCGCCGAAAACCAAGGATGCTATGCCCATAACAGCTTGTCAATCTTGACGTTTTCCAACTCTCGCACACGCAAAACGAGGGTGCAGTTCATCTTCCCAATGGTACCATTCCAACTTGTATCCTCTTCTGACGAAAGTTCCTTAAAAACTTTATTTTAGTATTTCCGGCCATCGTCACATTTAAATCTGGAATTCTACGCTGAGAACTTCGCCGACACCAATGCCTCCTATTCCTTGAAGCACTGATTTTTCCGTATCAGGTGCACCATGACGACTGGTACCATTACAATAAGTAGAATAAATCTACCTAAAACATTAACGTTGTCATGGAGCGCAGCCAGGGACGCAGTTGAGGGTTTGTACTCACAACGTTTATTACTGGTTATGAACTATACCTTCCAAAAGTGTTAATGTTGCGGGAACCACATGCCAACTTACTAAACTTCGCTATTTAAGCCATACAATAATGAACGTAAGCATAGAGGTGTGAATAACAAAACTAATTTCTGGGAAAGCTGTGTCACTGTTAATTTTACTCTTGTTGTTAGATGAAACTCGAATGCCACGTGTTTTATTGTTGTTGGACAACTTTCATTTCTATTTCACTGTTACATGATATCCTACACAGCTTTTATTATGTAGGTATATTATGTTGCAAACTTCATTCTAGCAAATAATGGAATTTTACGTATTTTTACACCACATTATTAAATTTATTCTATATTTGCAAATTGCAAGGCAAAATTGTACGCTGGGACTGCAAAATTTGTCATTCCATTAAATTAGGTTAGATCACGGTTCCCACTTGTAACCGAAAACGATCACTTTGATGTATCTATGAACACAAACTCAATTTACTAATTACACCCAACCTAATTAACTACACACACCAAAATAAAATCACGACCAAAATTGATGACGTTAAGGGTCGAATTGATTTTAATTTTATACTTCGTTCCGGTTGTACCTAACACTATTAATACTAAATTGATGCGCCGGAAAACTGTTCAAGTTCGCTTTTGATCTATTAGTCAAATGCCCATCCGCTGTCTGTAAGTACATGTATCGGTAATAATGGCGTATTTAGTGATCAAAGTTAATGGCCCTCATTTGCCGATGCATGTAATTCTGCGCAAAAGCCGATTTACATGGCAGGTAGGCACTAACAATGAAAGGAAGGTTAATGGAACTTTCGGATGAAAAAATTTTATACAGCCCTGCGGTGAAAGCTCGTTAATGGTTCAATACAAGCAAAATATTGTAGGTAGAGCAAACTAAGATTTACTTTTACCTTTTCCATCGCTATAATTTAATAGAATCCTTGGTATTAAAATTAGTTTCATAACTGCTAATCAAGATTAACAATATTAGAGTAGCAAACCCTTTATCTTACAATCAAATGTGGTGTAGCATTCGAATGTTTTTGTCAACCTTATTTTAACATTATTTAATATTATTTTGTGAACCGGGCAAAAGTTGATCCTCCTCCAAATTGAACGTTATTCTCGTTATCTTGACCGCAATCTATTTTTTAAGCCTGTTTACCTCAGTAGACGTGAATGAAATAAGGTACTTTGCCGTTTACTAAGAAAATGAAGCTTAATTATTTATAAGTACATATTTATAAAGGATAGTTGAGTGGTTGTTGATGAGCTCATTGTAAGTACCTATTTCTCTCATAGATATTTAATAATGAACTTGTTTTGTTATTTTAAGACTTAAGTTTAGCGTTACTGAAATGGATATGTACAGTTTTGCGGTATTGGTGGAGTGCATGTGCGATTAATACCCCCCCCCCCCGCTATATTTAGCTTAAAAGTGCCTGCAATTTGGAGGGAGTTTTAAAGGTTTGCTTTTACATTACAT